ATACTGGTATCGGTGTAACACTGGGTTTAAACCAAATATAATTACAATAAAACAAGAAACCTTAGACCACAATGATCAGAGGTTCAGTTCTGATGATGTTGGAACAGTGTTTTACTCAGAGAGGAAAGATAATCAAGAACCTGAAGCAATCATGTGTTAGACTCTCATATTAGAACCATTTCCTGATGCCTCCCGACTGCTGCTCTCTCACCTCTCAGTATGATGTGACATGTGTGGATATGTAGCAGTGGCTTGTTACAGATCGGTCCGTGTACAATGACTTCCTGCTCTTTAAAATGCAGTGCGGCCGCTGAGGCAGGAAATGGACCTAATGACAGAGCTGTGGACCGGCACTCTGCCTGTCTCAAACGTATAATCAAATCTGTGTCTCAGACGTGTCTGCTTGCGTCACTGCAGGGCCATTTCCCTTCACCTGCTTCTTCCACTGCAGCCTCAATTATGGATGAGGGACCGCTGATGCATAATGGATCCGTTCCCTGATGTCCACTGATTGAAAATCATGGACAAGAGGGACACAAAAGAAATGTCAGACCTAAAAAAGACTCCATCAGAGGAACAGCACCTGGATGTCAATCAGAGAAGCATAGCAAAACAGCAAAGGTCTGAGTGATGTGTCTCATTGATTCAGAGGAAGAAACTGAAGGAAGCTGCGATTTTATGACAGGCTGCTGGAGACAAAGAGAACAATGATCCAGTTCTGAACGGGTTCAGAGCGTTGCTACACATTTTAGAAGCTTTTCTCTTTCTAATTGATTAACTTGTCAGATTAAGGAGCTCAAAAAACAACAAATTATTTCTCCTAAAGCAGCCAAAGTCTGCAGAAAAACACTGATACACTCAGGGCCAGAACAGGGCATAAGCAAACTGGGTGATCCAAGGACAATTAATTGTTTGTTGTTGTTTTTTTTTTTTTGTTTTTTTTTGCATTTATAATGATTTCTTTATAAATATAGAAACCAAACACACAATTTTGTTAAAAAACCTTTTTACATCAAATTATCTTTATTCATTTAGAAATAATTAATTATACATGAAAAAAAGGATCTTGGGGCTAGACTGACAAACATTTCTTTGGAGATAAAAGATAAGTAAGATTTTTTTAATTGTTTATTTGATTTAATTATGTTTGTTTTTGTACAACTGAATTTCTTTTTTTATCTATCAAAGCTATTTTATCTTTTTGTTGTTCTTGCAATAGAGATTATTTTTGCATATAGCTGCTTACAGTTTAAAGCCAAAAGTATAAAGCAATTGAAACTTTTATTGTAAACAGGCTGCATACTAGTACATTGCTTTTTAATAACACTTTGATGCATAAAGATAGGGGAAAAAACTCTAAAAAGCACCACCAGACCATCAATGCATTTTGTTAAACATTTTATTTTAGTCTAGGCTTGGCTTGTTAAACAGATTACCACAGGCTCATATTTAACTGTTTTGCTGAGACAAGTTCTTTTAGCTTTTTTGAAAAATGTAAATTGGGGGAAGACAGAGATTTGAAATCTATTATTCCTCTGTGTGCACACAAAGCTCACATAACAATAGCTACATGTAAATAAATCTGTTATTAACAGATAGGACCTTAAATGGGACACATAGTTTTTGTTTCATTGATTCAATAAGGAAGCATTCACAGGCAGTGAGTCCAGAGCATCTTAAAACAGTGCTCTTGAACTCCTCGCTAGTTGTATCAACTGTTAGAGTCTCATCACTGATTCTGTGTCATTTTTTCTAACTTGATTAATTAAAGTGTCAAATTCAATTTCTATTCTCAGATGATTCTTATATTGCTTTAATGGGAATCTGTAGCAGAAATTAAGGGCTGCGGCAGAGTTTAAGGGAATTAAGAGTATAAAAACTATATCAGGTTATATTAGATGTATGAATGATCTGGGGTTTCATTTATAAAGCGTTCCACACAAAGTTTGTTTTCCAAAAAAATAAAAAATAAACTGACTCAAAAATCTGCATTGCCTCACATCAACTCTGACCCATCTTTGCAGGTGCACACATTTTGGGAGGAGGGAAATCTAGAAAAACAAAAGATAAGTCAGATTGGGAACTGATGCCAGTTTGCATCATAATTTCTCTCAGATATTTAAGTTCAGGTTCTATGGAGCTTTAATCCCGGATTAATTTTATTGGTTCCAAAACCATAGTGTGATTATATATATATATATATATATATATATATATATATATATATATATATATATTTATACATTGTCCTATAACACAAAGAAAACAAAAAACAAAAAAACAGCTAAGATTTAAAATGAAAGTCTGCACAATATTTAAACATTTCCTCACTTTCATGAATTCCACCACAGATGTTTTAACATAGTCAACAGTATAATTCTGTGAATTTACCTATAAATCTAAAATATTACCTCCAATAATACGTAGAATAGTGCCTGAACGCCCTTAGTAATAAGATCAGCTCATCACAGTCTAATGCTGTTGATAATATTTCCTTTTATTTACTGCGGCTATCAAACATGTCTGACTCATAACCTCACCAAAATTTTCACTATAGGGCCCCAAGGAGGCTTGGAGAACTAATTACCCTTTTTTTAGAGGAGCGGGGAGTCTGAGCAGGAGTCTCTAAACTAAATAATTAGATTAGAATCAAAACAAACAAACAAACAAGAATTTGTTTAGTATAAAGTCAAAAATCTATTAGGTTCAAATAAAAAAAAAAATCCTTTTTTGAACTGAAAAACCTGAAAAAAAAAGTGTTATATACTGAGATAATAAATTAATTACGTTCAGAAAAAATGAGATAGTTATAGTCCTCATCTTTATCAAGTGAGATGGCTGTAACTATGCTTTAAAGTTTTTTGCTTTAAAGCCAAATTACAGGTTTCGCTGTGAGATGCAGGAAAACTACCTTATGGTTTCAGCTTTTGAGTTAGAGGTTCATTGTTCAATGGGTTCAATTTCAACAATATACATTGATGCAATAAAAGATGCCATAGCAATAATATTCTGTGTTCCAATATACAATAAAGACTCATTAATTTCTTATTCAAATTTAAAGCTGATTTATAATTAAATAACAGAAGTTGGAACTGTCATGAGCTAGCCTTGTGGTTAGGAAACATAATTTGCTTCTTAGAGCAACACTAAAGGTCTGAGGTTTGAAACAAATATCCCTTCAACAAACAAAGGTCAGGCAAAAATTCAGATGATAAATTTCCACCCTATAGGGTTCAATAAGCTCTAAATAAAATCATCGATTATCATTTAAACTTATAATAACATAGAATTAAAAGGTTTGGTAAATTTAACAGCAAAACTTAAATTATTAAGTCCTAAACTCAAAAATCTTCTCAAGCTGGTGACCTTTACATTTTTAATTCCGCCTACTTTTTTCTTTTCTTTCTTTTTTTTTTTTTGTGTATAAGGAGATAAACTTTGATTATAATTCACAAATCTTTGTGGTCTAAAGGCAGAAATGTTTACTGGGAGGAATGGAGGGGAAGACCTGGGCTGAAAAAACCCACCCAGTTCCAAAAGAAGAGTGTTTAAGAAATCATTAAATCATCACCATCAATCATGACTGGTTGTTTTATTTAACTGCTTTATTTTCTGTTTTAATTCAGACTCTTAATCAGAAAATCTGATTAAAATAGGATTTTGTGCAGCGCCCCCTCTGTTGATGATGCGCTCCTGCAACAACATCCTCCTCCTTCCTCCTCCTCATCCTCCTCTTGCTCTCTGGTACCCAGAGCGACAAACCTGCATCAGTGTTTGCCTGCTGCCCGAGTCGTGCAGCTGTTCCGCTGCTCGTGAACTGGTGGAGCGCATCGAGTCAGGCACCATCCGCGCAGCAGAAACAGGGAGGAACCGGACCCAGGCGCAGGGATGAAGCCCGAGCTAAAGAAGCGTTTCCTCCCGTGAGGAGCGGAGCAGGAGCCTGGAAAGCGCCGGAGGGAAGCGGAGGAGGTGGAGGGGGAGATCTCGGGGACACATCCATGGCGACTGGAGGAGGAGGAGGCGGCGGAGGAGGCGGAGGAGCGGCGCGCAGGAGGAGAGCGGGGCTCCCCGGGTTCTGCTGGAAAACCTGCTACTTTCCTATCCTGTTCTGGGTGGTTTCAGTGTGCGGAGAGGAGAAGACCTTTATAGTGGAGGTAAGAGTCCCGCACAGGAGGACTGTGTGGATTTTATTTTATATTTTCCCCGATCCTAAGGCGCAGCAGAAAGCGGACTGATGCGCTCCTCTGTCCCCTGTCCTCCTCCTTATAGCTGCTTTAAAATAGAATGTATGAGAACAGATAAAAACGACTTTCTGAGCTGAACAACTGAGATGTTTTGGACTCAGAATCTGCGCTCAGCTCTTTGTTTTCTGACGCTGGAGGCGCGCATAGCGACGCGCTCAGCTGCCGCTCCAGCATCAACACTACCACTAACAAACAGCTTAATTACTCATTAAACCTGATTGTTTCCGTCTGTTTGGCAGCTTTATTAAGTCTTTCAGCTCAATTTGCCCCGCTGCTGCTGGGTGTTGGTCAGGATGGATGAGGAACATATACTGATAATAAAGCTTGAGATTCTCTGCTGCAGCCGCTCAGTCAGTCAGGGAGGTATCTGTGTGTGCACAGACACATGTTGGCCATAAACAACCATCAGCATCCAGGCAGGTTTAAAGTGACTGTGTGCTGAACAAAGCCAGCCCCCCCCACCCAGTCCAAATATAGCCCCTGCTCCATAATTCATGGATCCGCTCTGAGTTTGGGAGAAGGATGGAAACGGCTGAATTCTGTGGGGATGTTGGAGCAAAACTCCTCCTGCTATGGTCTCAGCAGGGTTTGGGGGTCTTTGAACTGGGAGGATTCCTTGTTGGGTATGCAGCTCAGTGAGAGTGGATCAGTGGCTCTCCTGTTTTTTTTCTGTTTGTGTTGCTAGTGACACTTTGATTCAGACAAAGAAAGAGCCTGTGGCGGTGCTGAGTGAGCTCTGTGTTGAACAAAGGAGGAGATGTTGTCTCTGATGTGGCTCAGCTGTAGAGTCTGGATGTCAACAGATCCAGTGTAAAATGCAGGGCAGGCAGCCTGAGACGAAAAACAGATCAACACACGAATGTCGAAAAGAAACAAACTGTTGAGGGAAATCTGCAGAGGAATGTTTGAGACTGGGAGCTGACCTTGGTGCTGAAAAGCTTTGGTTAGCAAAAGCTTTAAGAGAAGGTCTGCAGTCAGCTCAAGTCCATCCATCATGTATCTGGGCTGTGTGTCCTAAGGGTTATTCATACTCTGGACATTGGATTGGATCACAGAAGGAACAAATTTGACATCCAAACAGTCGACCTACAAACACCCATAAAGAACCTTAGAGTGGGACCCCAGTGGGTTTCGTGGTTCTTCTCAGCTGACTCAAACTAGTCGTTATAAAACAAGCCTTCTTAAAAACCCTTTTTGGCTGCATGTTATCATGTCTGTTGCCTGCCTGAACAGGGAGGAAAATAGGAGAAAAGTGAAGCGCTCAATATCATCTCTGTACACCTATGATTAGTCAAAGCTCTGTGTAATAAATAACATCCCTACTGTAGCTGCTTCTCTGGGAGCTGACCTTGGTGCTGAAAAGCTTTGGTTAGCGAGCAAAAACATCTGGTAATAGTAAATCAGGAATAGAAACATTTCAGTTTCCATGATCTTAACTGGTATTTTATTTAACTTTAAGTGATTAACATCAGACCTGCTAGGCTTGTAGTTTATAACATTCACATTTGAGTAAACCTTTATTATAACCGTGTTCCCGTTTTATAGACAATGCCTTGTCTTTTTAAATATATTTTGTGTTTTTCTATGATAAATGGGCCACGTTCAACAAATTAGACTGCAGCTTCAAAACTGCAGTGAATTTGATAGAGGATATGTTGTTGGTTGGCATGAATGTGAGTGATTGTGTAACTGCTAAACATGCACAATCCCACAGTGCTCCAGGACTAGAACCAAGCATGGTACAGTTTTACTAACATGGGTCGAGGAAATCCTAAAGTTTGTAGACAAAGAGAAGGAGTAAGCAGATCTATATGAATATATATCTGGAGTACTACTGCCCCTCACTCACCTGTTGCTGTGGTACTCTTACTTTGCAGAGAGAACTCAGCTGGTTTTCTGTGATACAAACAGAAAAACAGGCAGAGCAGAGGAAGGAGATGTTGAGCTCTTTGTCTGACTCATCTGTTCGCACTTTCCCTGTTGGCCTGTTTACACAACAGGTTGGATTTACAAAGGCTCTACTAGGAGTTTGGTTGGTCATAGGTTTGTGCCCTGCAGGAGAAGCTGCTGATGGAGAGAATGAATCATAAAATCTGAGAACAATTTGTTCCAGATGTTCATGTCAAGCTTTTAGGGCGTGATCATTGTAGTTTTTTCTATTCTAATTGTGGCCCATTCAGGTTTTCTTATGAGATGTTGGGTCGTTTTATGTCGATTTTAGTTAAATATAGAAATGAAACTTTATTTAACTGTTAAGGACGTGCTTAACAGGTCCTTTCCTATGTGTTAAGCATGGTGGGAATGGACCTATGATTTCAACTTGTTGTCTGATTTGGACCTTTGCAGTCAGAAAATGGAATATGAACTCCTCATAAGAAAATATGAGAGCAGTTGTTGGTTAGTGGAAGACTGACTGGAACGGACTGAGTCATCAATGGCCAATGACAATTCTAATTTCGATGACGATACTGGTCATTTTGACTTTAGTCTAATCCATAACCAATATATGCTGCTTATGTTTTTAGGATGATTTTTCAAGCCTGTGTTGTTTTTCTTCCTTTTTTCCTCTACCAAAGCTCCTCACGTGCGGAATCAGGCAATGGAAAGAACAGAAGACAAAGCATGCTGTTTTAAAACTCCAGACTGGACTGTTATTTTTATTTTATTTTTTTTTTTCGGTTCTTTAAATGATGAAAATAGCACAATGATAACAAACAAAAAGAAAAAAAACACATTTATTAACAAATCAAACAAAACCTGAAAAATGGATAGCAAATGGAGGCAGGTGCAAGCATGCACTTCACATATCGGTACATGAAAAACAAGTATCGGCTGGCTTATATATCCGTTTATCATTAATGAGAACCATAAGGTGAACCCAGTTAGAGCAGAGGCTGCAGAGGTTATGTATCAGCAATGACTTGGAGGGAAAATGAAATCAGGAATACCGGAGAGGTAACATGCTAGAAGAAATACCCTCGACTGTTCTTTTAGCACAGGGTGACGTGGCAGCAATGACACTGAGTTGCTCAGCAGAAAAGATGACTAACAGTCAGAATGTCCTCACTTTAGATCTCTGTTATGATAATGGAGGTAATAGGATAAAAGCGTGTATCTGAACTCCCGTCAGCTGGTCTCAGTGGGGTTTTTTACCCTCTCAAAGATGGGATGTTCTGGGAAAGAGGCTGGCCAGTGGATGGTTGTAAACACAGCATTAGAACTGAGAAATGGGTTAAAGGAGCCTGCAGCTCTGCACTTACTGAGCGCAGAGCGGGCTGCTGTTGTGTGGGTGGGTGTGAATTCACGCCTGCTTCCAGTCAGCTCTGTCCTGATTTTCATTGTTGCAGATAAATACACACATTTGTAATGTTTCTGCGTTCAGATTGACAGCCTTGTTGTCGTTCCGTTCGCTCTTTTCAACCCTCTTTAGTTTTTGCCTTCCAGTCATTGTGTTTGTCACACCCACACTCACTTTGCCACTCGCTCAGTGAAGCTGCAGCTGGAAATACCGGGAGTTGTCACCGTGGGTTTGATGATGGTATTGTTCTGTCTGAAATCAGCGCAGATGTGGAGGACGATTTGTTCTGCTGAACACGATCAAATTAATCTGTTCACTGATTCAGAGTTTATGTGAGAACAGATCCATCGACTGCAGGTGCCAAAGTGTTTTACTGACTTTTTCGAAAGCACGTCTGACGATAAAACAAAATGGAAATGGAAAAGAAAGAATTTCAGCCAGTGCATTAATCTTTAATATTTAATTATTTTAGATTTTCTTCCACAAACAACTTCACTAGAAAAATAAAAAAACTTAAAGAAAGAGATGTAAATATAATAGCCTGTGGCAGATTTAAAGAAATCTGGAAGGCTGCAGACGGCAAAATAACCGAACAAAGTTACAACCTTTGTTACCAGGCTGGGTTTTTCTCTCGTGCCATTAGTCCTACATTGGGTTACAGGACACAGAAAACTATAGAAATCTCTGCAAGGGCCCAAGTTAACAAAATAATCCTGACCCAAAATGTATCCTCCCACAGTGCCTGTTTGGGTTAAAAGTTTCCTTCCAACACTTCCTTTCAGAAACGTAGCAAGGGGCCCCACATTAGGTCCGATTTTCTAACAGTGTCTAAACAAATTTTCAGATCATAAAATGTTGAAATAAACAATGTTATTTCAAGTATTTTAGATTTTATCAAATCTGGGCCTCGACGTACCACAACTTTTTTCAACCAGGAACCACGAGTGACAGTTCCAGAACATTTGTATAGAAATGGCCAGGCAGGGGCCAATGTGCGCTAACGGGGGGATGAAAAACTAATGGGATGAAAAACTAATGTACACCTAAACTCGTTAAGGGTTAATCTATAAACATCACAATGAACCAACATGAAAATGAAAGCACACAATATCTATATTTTCCAAATAAATACTTTAAGATGGAGCAGATTTTCATGAAGCCCTTGCTAATAAAGTTACAGATAATTTATAAACTGGAGCTGTTCGATTTAATTTATGGTTCTGTATAGTAGCAGTTCTTTATCTATGAATTCATAGAACACTCCTAGATCTCCCTCCACGAAATATATATAAAAAATAAAGATACAGTTCTATATTAGTTCACTTTATTTGCAGTATACTGCTGTGAATAGTTAATTGTTGTATTTTTGTTACTACTTTTGTTAGTAACTAGAGCTGGCTTAAATAAAAAGACTAAAGTAGCAGGAGTTTATATTTGTTTCTTTTTTTATATATTTTTGATAAGAAATACATTTAACATAATGAAACAGCTTATTTCACTTCTTTATATTTTTAAAGATATTTCTTTTTTAGTATCTATAGTTTTTTTTGTTATTTCTTATTGCCATGTTAACAATGTGGGGCTCAAAGGTTCTAAATGTTTCTTCATGACA